TTTGAGGTTATGACTGTTTCTTACCAAAAGAAATGGCAGTGTTATTTTTTCTCAATCTAAATGATACTAATTTTTTCTGTAGGCAGATTACTAACTATGTGAGAAAAATAAAGCACCACAAATAACTTTGTTATGTCCTGTGATGGTTTCCATAATTACTGGTGCATGATCCAAAAGTTTTACAGAAAGCTTGTGTAAAGAACCAAAAATGCATATTAATATATTATATTTATATCATTGAGAAAACAAATTTTTCTTAGTCACCTGATCCAATTTTTCCAAGTATCTGCCATAAAAACTAATTTGGGGGTAGGGAAAGCATTTAATTACAATAGATGGCATTAAAGTACTACACCACCACATGACACTAATCACATTTTCAGTCTTATATAATTAGTTACTTCTTAAGTTTGTAGTAGACACTAAATTCTAGACAGGAAGTCCAAAGGGAACATGGACTCTATCTTAGCTACTAAATATTCAATATATAACAGATTTTTAATTTGAATTGTTTTATAAAACGTGAATTCAGATCACGAAATCAATTCATATCTGGACAGACTTTTAATAAATGCTTCATTAATACACAACGCTCACTTTAATAGAAAAACAATAAAAAAGGGTCTTCCTCAAGTTTTTTGTAATGCTGAAAGGTATTTACCAACAAAATTACTAGTAAGTACAACTTCCCACTGACACTACTTCTCCAAATTGTTCCTTTGTACATGGAGGCTGCAGCTACCTTTTAAATCAATTACAAAAACAAAAAACCGTAAAACTGTAAGTGGTTCACAAAAATGTGAGTAAATGGAGATGACTTAAGATACTTATGACATATTCTTAGACATAAACCATGACCTGTTTTTAATAAATATAATCATTAAGCATTGGTGGTATACACTACTGAACACCTAAAGAAAACTTTTTTCTCTTCAGCACATTATGGTGTCTTTTTTTTTTTTTTTTTGCAAATTTGCCAACAAATTGATTTATGTAATAATGCCTTTTCTGATCCATATGACAAAGGGTAAACCTAAATCCAGTTTGGGCAGATCATCAAAGACTTTATCTTCAAAGTCTCTATTAATCACTATTGACATCTAGTAATCTGTTATTTTTCTGGGAGCATAAACTGAATCATGCATTTCTCTAGGTTATTGGACAACTCACTTAGTGCCACAGATTGGATCTTGAATATTCCTCAAAGGTCTGTGTTGAAGGCATGGTCCCCACCCCATGTGCACTGGTAAGTGGCTGAACCTCTACAAGTCCTTCACATTAGAAGGCATTCATTCTATTTTCTCAATTTGAGAAACAAAATACTGCTTAGTGAAATCACTTTGAGGAAAAAAAAATACTGCATAGAGAAGATCTATACACTAAGACAATGTCAGTGCTAGTTTCTGATGCTTTACATATCACCTAAGAAAAGCAGGTCAAATTTACACGGAAATCAAGATGACCTGCTTTAGAAATTGTTAAAACAAAAAGTAGTTCTAATAATGTCAAAGGTACATGTGAAATGTCAAAAATAAAGTATCAAACACTGCCCCAAAAGCAGTATTTCTAAATAGATGTTATTTTCTGTGATTTAGAATGTGTCATCATCCTAAACACTGAACAAGACATATGCCTCATAATAATTACTGTAATAAAAAATAGTACCATCACCTACGAAAAATCATGCCTAAAAAAACCCCCCCAAAACCTAAACTTAAGTCTACCTAGAAATCTGAGATTTAGAACAAGTTGACAAATACATTAAGTAACTGTCAAATTGAGAATATGAAAAAGAAAAAAATCACTTGATTTCACTAATGTATTTACAACCTGAAAATATGTAAACCTCAGGTATAAAGGTCAAATAAGCTGTGTGAACCTTGTATGAATCTTGATTCTCACAAATCAAGTACAAAAAAACTTCTTTGAGAAAATTAGGGAAATAAAAATGTAGAATGGAAATTAGCAAGGCATTTTTCCTAAGTCCTCACTAGTAAGAGAATTTATATTCTTAAATATTACTTCAAAAAGTAAAATATGGAACCAGGTACCAGTGGCTCTTACCTCTAAGAGCTACTCCTTAGCTACTCAGGAGGTAGAGATCAGGAGGATCATAGTTCAAGTCAGTCGGGGCAAAACAGTATGCAAGACCCTGTATCAAAAATATCCCATCCTAGCAAAACTGGCAGAGTAGCTCAAATGGTAAAGTGCTTAGCAAACATGAGGCCCTGAGTTCAAACTCCAGTACCACCAAAAAAATAAATATGGATGCAAACAAGATTTCACACGATGTTCAATATGACTCAGGAGTTAAAGCTATTTTCTCTATTTCTGTGTTTCCATAATAGTTTAATAAAAGTGTGTATATATATATGTATACGTATATAAATATAAATAAAACAATGTAACAGAAAGCCATCTTTTGAAATGGGAAGTATTATAAAGAACACCTGAAGAAAGTGTTTAAGCTGGATGAATCTTCAAGGGTAGGTACACAATTTGGACAAAAGTTTTTTTGTTTTTTAAACAAAACATTCATAAACTACAGCTTGAAAGGGGCAACTCATCAAGGTCAACTAGCTTGGGGTACAAATGCTTGCGTGAAGTTAATTTCATTTATTACTTCCTCTATCATACTTTTCACTAGCATGAAATTTTAACTTACAAACTGATTTCCAAATGAGTACAAACTCTTCTGAACTAATTTTAATCTAATTTCTGCCAAAAAGACTGACAACAGAATCTATTGTGCACTAAATCTTATGCCAGAGATCACTCCAGGTATACTATCTAATGCTCACTACAATCCAGCAAAGTGAGAATTACAATCCTACTTCATAAATAAGGAAACTGTGGCCATTTTTCTCCCTTAATAGACAAAGCTACTAAATGATAGAGGATTCAATACTATCAAGATTCCAAAAGCCTCATGCTTTTCCAGTAACAAAACAAACCATCACTCAAATGATGTTACTGTCATGAAGTTTCCCCCCCAAAAGCTCATGTATTAAAGGCTTGGTCCCCAGTGCAATCAGTATTCTGAGGCAGGATTTTGGAAGAAACGCTATGGACAGATTAATTCATTGGTGGTGTCATAATATGATAGCATTATCAGGAGATGATGGAAATGCTAGGAGGTGGAGGGCCTGTTTGGAGGAGCAGGTTACTGGAAGTGTTCTCTGGAAAGACTTATCTTGTACTTTGCCCCTTCCCTCTCGACTCTGCTTGCTTCCTATCTGCCGTAAGGTTAACAGGTCTGTTTCATCATGCCCTTCAGCCATAATGTACTGTCTCACCATAGGCCCAGAAACATGAAACCAGCCTATCATGGACTGAAATCTTTGACACCATGAGTCAAAATAAAATTTTCCACCTTCAGACTGCTTCTTTCAGGAATTTGCCTGGCAATGGAAAGCTAAGGAACACAGGTAATAATTATTCAACTCTCTTAAAAATCTTTCTCCTTATCTTCCCAATAGCTTACACTATTAAAGCCACCTGGCAGCACTCATCTCTTCATTCCACAAATCCCTCAAAGTTTGGTTCAAATGCTGCCTCCTCCATAAAAACTATCACAATCAATCTTTCTCTTAATTCCCATAGCATTTTATTGGTTTTTAAAAAATTAACAAGACAGGGAGGGGCTGACAAAATGCCTCAAGTAGTAGCATGCCTGCCTAGCAAGTTCAAGTTCATAAGGGTTGCCTTAGTATTTTAAAAAAAAAAAAAAGCGAGAAAGAACAAAATATACAGCTTATTCATCAGACTTTAAAATTTCTTTAAGTCAGAATTAGATTAAAAAAAAAACTAACACAATTTCATCAAGGGCTCAGGTTACAGCAGTGTTCATGAAATGTTAATCATAACGGAGGAGAACAAAAGGAAGGCTACTATAGTAGAGCATTGTTACAGGGAAGGAGAGAAAAATGATAAAATAAAAATATCCCAGGGTATTAACTAAACAGGCAAACTGAAAACCAATCTATGTTTCTATCGTCCTAGTTTAATAAAAATAGGACACGAGTACCTGCATACATGGAAAAATGAGTGATACAATTCTATTTAGATTTTATAGTTTGTTTTACTCTTAGAATACTTATGGTATACCACTTGTATTTTCTGAAAACATTTTAAAAAGCATTAAGCACACTTACATAGTTATATTACCTTGGAAATTAATGGCCTCATATAATAGTTAATAATATGCTACAGCTAAGCACTAAAAATACATGATTTCTGTGGCCTATCCCAAAGAAATGTTTTTACTACAAATGTGTGAGCAAGACAAGATTTTTTTCTGAGACAAATACATCCATACACTTGACTATGTATCATGTCTTGTAACAAAAACATCTCTTCAATAAACTAAAACATCACTTACAAGAAAAATATCTTCACTTTAGTGTTATTTATAAGCTTCCAACAGTTTTAGAGGCAATATAAAAGAGTTTACATGTACATTCAATACCTAATAAATATTACTACTCATACCTTCATGACACTGGGTATTAAAAAAACAAAACCCAGTGTATAGATCTAAATGCTCTTTCATCACCTAATTTAAAGAACTAGTATATTTAGGTTAATTCACCCCTCCTGTTTTGTTAAATTCCTCAAAAGAAAAAAAAAATGGAACCAAACAAACCATATACTTAAACTTAATATACTTGGTAATATGCAATGATAAATGTGTTTTAGATATTTTTGGCTTCCAAAATATTTTAGTATTGTTCATGCTTTCTAATACATTCTTTGATAGGTCAGAGAAGGAAGAGGTGCACTGGTTAAAAAAAAGATTGTCATTAATTCCTACCACCCAAGAGTCACTGATCTGAATTCAAAAAATACCAACTGGTGTCAAAATACTACTCTTTCAATGCTTTGTTTCACTCCAACATGCATGAGACAGGATTAATTACTAAAGAATGCTAACTCTTTGGTGCCAGGTTTAATCATCTGTAGTAAAAAAAAAACACCACGGTAAGATCTGAGATAGATACCTTTCTTAATTCAGAGTTAGGACCTGTTAATTGATTCCCAGAAGACTAAATGCAGACATTCTGGAAACTCTTCATGTGCCCCTCAGGGATAGGAGCACCCCAATTTTCAGGTCACTGGTTCCACATCTTCATAGAGCATAAGAATCTAGATAGGAGGCTTTAAAAAACTACAAATGCTCAGATTCCACCTACCCAAGGCAGGTTTGAATTAGTCTGGATGGGGAGACAGGCATAAATTTTTATTAGCATTTTTAAAAACTCTCCCGGCGATGCTTCCTGTGTCCCTTGCACATCGCTATATGGCTAAGAAATATATTCGCAAATAGCCTAGAGATTTTCCAACTGGTAAATTTTGTCATAATCATTATGGTATAGCAGAAAGCAAAATCTCTTAACTAGCTCAATGAACACAGGTGACATTTCCACATTTGCAGATAAGAGTAACAATGCCTCTCCTTCCCTGGGTTATTGCAGGCTAAGTGGGGTAACATATGAAACTGAAGTGTTTCTCAAGTACTAAGCCCACTACAACGAGTGAACTTTTTTTGTTTAAAAATTTAAGATCCTTTGACACAAGCTGCTCTTCTAGGAACTTACCTCACACAAACAGCAGCACCAACAAAACAATTAGCCTATAAGGATTATATGTATAGCATACGTACTGTACTGCTATTCAGTAGTATGTAGTGAGTCAAAAACAGAAACCAAGGGCTGGAAGAGTAGTTCACGCATTAGAGCACCTGCCTAGCAAGTGTGAGGCCCTGAGTTCAAACCCCAGTACCACTTAAAAAAAAAAAACTTGAAAAATACATACCAAAACAACGTAAAGTCCACAATTATTTAATAGGAACAAAAAGCCAATTTAAAGTTTTATATACTAATACAATAAAGCATGTCAAATAAAAATACCAAGTTGACTTACATGTACATGGTCCCATTTTTGTTCAAGGAGAAAGGCAATAAATATGTTTGGGTGAAACATGAAAAAATAAACACCTAACTCAACTCTGGTAAAGGAGGAGGCACTGTGGGCTTTATCTTTGTATTTCTCTGTATCATATGTCTTATGAAAGAAAGCTAGCAAGGTAACTTTTTTAAATGTTCTGTAGAAATATAGCTTAAATGCATTATAGTTTAGTGGTTTTATCACGGAATAGAGTACAAGAGACCTTGTACTATCTTAAATTCATATTAGTATTAGTTGAGTGCCCAACAAATGAAGACTTGTCTCAAATGGCTACCCAACAATTTTCAATTGCTATACATTATCAAATTAGAATATGGCACCAAGGAAAAATAACTCAAGTAATGTAGGTTGGAATAGGGAACTAAAGAAGACATCTGAATGCATGGTCTGAGAAAACTGGAAAAAAGGCCTCATCTTTAACTTATTTATTTACTTATTTTTTGAGACAAGAGTCTCATAAGTAGTCCTGGAACTGGCCATCCTTCTGACTCAGTCTCCTCTTGCTAGGATCACAGGGGTATGCTACTAGGTCTGGCTAAAATGCACTTTAAGCAGCAAACTTTAATGCAGTTTTTTCCCCTCTTGGTGGTACTTATGATTGAATCCCAAGCCTTGCACATGGTAGGCAAGAACTCTTACCACTAAGCTGTACCCCAGTTTTTTAATACCTTTTTAAAAAGATTTTTGTTTAGAACTTTTCAAGGTGTTTCTTATTCATCAATTCACAGTTTACTCTGAAATAAGTTCCTTGTCCATTATATTTAAGATATGTTGCTCCCTAGCACCCACTAGCTCTTTTTAAGTTTTCTGAGTACACGCTCACTAGTACTGTAAAGGCTGAAAACTCCTAGTTAACTTTAGCCCAATATCATCATCACTTTTTAAGGAAAATGTATTTCTAAGTCATTTCTAAGACACTTTAAAGAAAACTGAATGTAAGCTAAACTTTCTCATATAGGCTGGGTAAAAGTTATTTACCTTTTGTCTATAGAATCCCTACATGTGACAGTGAAAGGTTTTAAAATGTTCATTATAATTTATGATAGGGAAAATATATGCATTGAACTAATCTTTGAATTAAATAAGGAGTCTTTTAAGTGATGAATATGAATTGTGATTTTTAAAAGTATTCAAGAATAAACCCTGAACTGATGATCGTTCACTTCCTACTTCAAGTGAGAAGTCCAAAAGGAAAGTTTTTGCTGGGGGTGGGGGTGGGGGGCTGGGGAAGGAATCAAACACCTAGACAGCAATGTCTAAAAAGAGAAACCAAACTTTCAAGGATTAAGTATTAAATTATGTATTTTAAAATGGGATCTAGGGTAGAAAAAGATTCTTCAGTATTCATTTAAACAAAATTTTGGAAAACTTTCTTACAAGAAACAAATGAAATGAAAATTAAATTTAGGAAAACAAAGAATAAAACTAGTGAATAAGCTCTTAAGTTTACTTACTTTTTTTTTTTTCAGTCCATGACCTTGCAAAAAGTTTTTTTTTTTTCTTCCATTTATTCACGTGCACACATTGTTTGGGTCATTTCTCCACCCTGCCTCCCCATCCCTCCTCCCTTTTTCCCCCTCAGTTCCAGGCAGGTCCTGCTCTGCCCTTATCACTAATTTTGCTGAAGAAATGACATAAGCATAATAAGGAAGACAAAGCATTTTTGCTAGTTGAGTTAAGGAGAGCTATACTATTGCTTTGATGTACCCATGTGTTATGACCCATGTTGACTCCACTCTAACTGATCTTTACATTGGTTCCTGATCCCTTGCTCATGATAACCTCTGTCGTTTTAAGGTTTCTGTATTAGTTCCTCTGGAGCGGGGACATCAAACGCTTTCATGTTTTGGGTTTTCTACCTATTCCTGTATCTCCCATACGTGCTCTCCCCCCTTGTCATGTGATCCAAGTCCAGCCACATTGCCGCATTTACCCTAGACTTACTAACTTTTGATAATCTAAGATAAAAGGAGAAAAAACTAGGCATATACTATTCTTACCCTTAAAAAAGAAATGTTATATACTTAAATCCTAACATAATCCAGGGAAAGCAATTTCATAGTATTATGTAAGGGTTCCTGGGCAAGACAGGCTTAATCTTCCTAAATTATAATTCTGGATTTCAAGACTGTCCATATTAGATGAAGTCCTTCATTCTGGTGGGCCCCTGTCACTATACACATGACTACCAATTCTCTTCCATCAGAGTAGTTATCCATTATTAATCCTTCTGGCTGAATGCCAGTTCATCCATCCTGTACCTAAATTAACTTCTTTAAATCTTTTAAGATTCAGTTTTACCTGTCATGGAAAGCTTTTCCTGACTGCTGCATTCTCTACCTACAAAACCATAGCACTTTTGCTACTCCATGGCAGTTAAGTATGCTATGCTATAATCAAGAGTTTACTCCCTTTTCCCAACACTTCACCTAAGAACAAGAACTACACATCACCAACATTTAAGGATACTGTGGCAGAACACAGGCTTGCAATTCTCAAAAAGTATACAGGTTTTTGACAGTCTAATTTGATGAGAAGATACAACTTAGAATATGCAGACTAACAAATAAAATATGTTCTTCAAAACAATACTCTATGAATTTTTTCTCAAGAATTCTGATAAAAAATTGGCAATGTATCTTTAGCAAGAGTCTGGAGTAACTGGAGCCAGTGGCTCACGCCTGTAATCCTAGTTATTTAGGAGGCCGAGATCAGGAGGATAGCAGTTTAAGACCAACCCAGGCAAATAGTTCACAAGACTCCATCTCCAAAATAACCAGAGCAAAATGGGCTGGAGGTATGGCTCAAGCAGTAGAGCACCGCTTTGCATGTGTGAAAAACTGCATTCCCTCCAAAAAAAAAAAAAAAAAAAAAGTCTGCAGTACTCTTATTTAGAAACTAAATGAAAACATGTAAGATTCTCCAATGGATGAAAAGCAATCACATTATACTTCAATCCAAAGGTAATTCAAAATATCATCAGTGGGTAAAACCTGGAGCCATTATCCCTCTCTTTTAACTTCAAAATGTTATTGTTTATGTTGAATTGAGAGTTAGGGTTCAGGTTTTACTGTAGAAAATTTAATTTTTTTTGCATTTAATCAAATTTAAAAGTACTGATAAAATACTATGGAGGTAAAAAAATACTATGGAGGTGTTCAGGAAGTTCCTATTCATATAATTTTTTGGTAGTTAACAAAATTATGCAATTTTTCTCTACCTACAATTTGACTGCCTACTAAAGGCCTATACTTAGGGTTACCCTGCCTGTACAACTTATTTACCTTTAATGTCTGAATGAGTAAAACCAATTATGTCTTAGTTAAGACTACCACCAATTCCTAATAAGTCTTTCAGAAGTAGTGCCTAAAACCAGGGGTCACTACTTTAAGATCTAGAAATTACTAAACTTGACCTATCTATTACTACAGTAGAAATCAAAGAAATCAAAGATTTATCCTTGAACCAGGTCCCCAGTGTATTTTTTGTTGTTATATGTTTTTTTTCAGGACTAAATGAGCCTTCCTTATTTACTCCCCCCACCCCCCAACACACACATTGTGTATGTTGGCAGTTATTCTTCCTGGGCAGTGTTGACTAGATGGTTTTGTAGTGTCATTAGTCAAGTACACCACATTCTTTCCAAGAAACAAATTTTCGGGGATTACTGAAGTTCAAACATACACTTTGCCTGAAGTAGATGATAATCTTTATTTTTCCTCTGTCCCATCTGCAGTCTATCAAAACATCCTGGTATGTCAACTTCTCCTTTCACATTTCATACTACTTCCCTTTTTTTGAAACTTGGTAGCTATAGTGACTGTATATAAGGTATGCGTATTTGGATTTTTCTTTTATCCTTCCACAAGAGGGATAGTAGTATAAGAAGTTAAGTAAAAATCAGTAATCTGTAACTTGAAAATGGATAGGATTACAAGTAGCTAAATTAGCAGATGAGAACTAAAAAAACCTATCATTTTGTCAACATGTTTCAACAACCAACTATCTTAAATTCTTAGCTCTTCAAAATATAGAAAGGAGCCAGGCAAGAAGCAAGCAAAACTTTTCAGTAAAACGACTCAATGAAATATCATTGTGTTTACAATTTCATTAAGAATTAAAATAACTCTCTGGAAAAAAAAAACTCATCAACTAGGCAATTCTTAATTTTCATTTATACAGAAATTCAATCCTTTGAGTTATTAGAAGAAAACATTAACTGCGTCTCTAATGCTACTTCAAATTGAGCAGGATCATCCATCTACCTGTGTAACAAATCCTAGTGTTCCATTTGCTGGAAAAAAGTTTGAAAATATCTCTACAAATTCACTTTTCAACTACAAAAGCAATAAATTTTAAATGAACACTGGCCTGTCTACCTATATTGTCAAATATAAAAATCACTATTAACATACTAGCTTTTAAATAAAAATTTGAGGAAACTTTTCTACCATACCAAAATTCAGAACTAATTTTGAGTTAAGACCAATGCAAAGATCTTTACTACTGAAAAGCTACACTGGAAGGCATAATTTAGGCATAGGCCAAATGGGATCTCTAATATCAGACACAGTAATTATCCTAATCCTGTTACAAGCAGCACTGGACAACTACTGTCCTCTCCTCTACAAAGAGGCAGTCTGTCTCTGGTGGTCTCATGAAAAGAAAAACAAATTAACTGCTTTCTGCAGGGGGCAGACTCCCAGAGAATGGGAGGAAGGGGCTCAGCCATACTTCATCAGTTCCCTCTTGCAAATTCACTAAATGGAAGAATAAGCAGGAAGGACAATAGATGCAAGTCAGCTTGTTTTTATGCCTTCATAAAAACAGCAACATCAGGCTGGAGGCATGGCTCAAGAGGTAGAGCACTTGCCTAGCAAACACCAGGCCCTAAATCCAATCTGCAGTACAAGAAAAAAAAAAAAAAAGAGCAAGCTAATTTACCCAGCTATAAATGCAATTTTTATCTTAATCACAAACGTCAGTAAACTAGCCTCAAACTGTGAATGTAAGTCAGACCAAGTCCTGTGAAATACCACAACTTAGATATCATATTTTAAATATCCCGTAGTGAAATTTTTTTGGTGGGCTGTGGTTTGAACTCAGGACTTTGTGCTTCCAAAGTAGCACTTCCAAAGCGGGTGCTCTACAACTTGAGCCACACCTCCAGTTCATTTCACTCTAGTTATTGTGGAGATGGGGTCTTGCAAACAATTTGCCTGGGCTGCCCTGGACTGTGATCCTGGGAATCCCAGTAGCTAGAATTACAGAAGTGGGACCACCAGCGCCCAGCAACAGCCATACATTTAACATGAAAATATATTAAGAAGATGAAAATACCTTTTTCCTTATCTTAGGAAACTAGATCTTTAAATTAGGAAATATGTAAAACAGGAGACAAGGAACCAACCTTACTTTGAATTATCACGATCCTGTGTCTATTAAAAGGAGACTGGATCCGGGTGTAGCTCAGCAGCAGAGCACTTACCTCGCATGCACAAGATCCTGCATTCCCCCAGCACCGAAAAATAAGGACGATGATGATGATGATGGCAGTCTAGTCTCCGACTGGTTTTGGATGTCACAACTTGGCCTAACCTCTAATCTAATACTTCTGCTAACTTGAATAAGTACATACTCAGGAAGACTATTTATTGTTCAACACCAGAAAAGACTTACAAACATATGAAAGGTTTAAGAAAGTAAAAAGCAAGTATTACAGTGTTAAGACTGCATTTTATACATTTGAAATGCCTAAGAAATTTTGGCCTAGCAAAGGTAACCTTTACCTTACTAAAGGTTAATTAATTTAGGCTTCTTTGAAAAGTTACTTTAAAATCTAACTAAATACTGAAACACCTAAGAGAACTATTAACTTAAGACAAATTAAGTTACGGAAACTATGTATTAACACCAAACAGTTAAAGATGCTTAAATTTGTTAAAGGTAAATCTAGCTGGAAGGAAAAATAGCTACACTTGTGCAGAACAGAAAACCTAAACAAACAAAAAAACCTCAGCTTATTCTAACAAGCAGACTGCTGAAATGTAACTTTAATTTTTAAATTAGTGTGGTGTAACTTTTTCTGTGTAACAATAACTGTACTCAGAAACGCAAAACACGGCTCTATACAACTCAATTTTCACCACAAAACTGGAACTTAAAAAGCATTCTT